AAAAAAAAAAAGGAAAACAAAAAGAAAACAAACAAAAAACGAACAAAAAAAAAATTATAAAAATGTGAGCAAAGCTACAAAAGCTGATCTATTACACTATAGATGAAAATAAAAAAGGAGACAGGAACAGTGGCCGATCCTAGCCCTTCCGGATGGCCGAATTGTCGCTAAATATGACCTGCAAGATTGCTTGTATGTCAACTGAATTCAGATGTCTGGATCCAGACTAGAAAAAGACACGGATCAAGAGACACTTTTAAAAAAAGACTGCGCGATAACGGCTTTATTATGCTGTAAGTACATCATAGTTAGAAACACTACCTGTATATGAACGTTTAAAACACTAAATATAGACGTCGAAAGGTGAATATGGGTACAAAGACATGGGGAGGATCACGAAAGTTATATATAGTTATGAGGGGGGAATCACTTCAATAAAATAACATTTAAAGGGGCGATCGGCTAAATTTCATCGTGTTTAGCCCAAAATCCTCCGACCGCCCCCAGGCGATAAATAATGACCCGTCCCTAAGTGGCCTAAAGTCTATCATGATCGGTAGATATATAATCTGTTTATCTAAGCTACACGTGCGACTCAGTTTTGAAACGAGAAGATCAACAACGTACAACGCTGTATCACGTTTACACTTTCTCCGTCTTACAATAGTAACTGAGAAGAGGAATAGCACTTGTCAGGTGCAACAGTGGTGCGGTACTTTGGTACAAGAGATCTTAAGATACCGTAAACGATCTAACTGACGCCCCCTCGCAAATTAACCCCTCACGTTTAGAAAACCCCACCTATAGCTGTTTAAACAGCTGTAGGAGGCGTTTTACAAACCTAAAAGTTTTTATGCATTAGTCGCCTCTGTCTAATAAACAACGCCTTTCTAAAAGACGACCCCCATGACAGTTATCGAAAATTCTAGGACAAGCAAATAGGAGCAATATCATTCAATGTGATGTTTCTTGCTTGATTATAGAAGGTTTGCGCATTGCATCTTGTTTAATATCAATTCGAAGTAAGGAAAGACTAACGATGACTACACAACGACCGCGAACGAGTATTCTGACATCGAGATTTGAAACAGCGGATATGGATCTCTTTAGAAGGCAAGCCATATAGATATATCAATAATTGATTGACTGGATATTCCACTATAATTAATAAACTCTCTTGATGTTTTCGCCGGAACCATATTTGTTTGGTAGAGATTTACGCAAAAATGAATTTAAACGCCTCCTTAAAAGCCCCTTCTTGGACCCCTAAAATTAAATAAACGCCCAGGGGGTCAAGTTGATCTGTTTTGCAGTACACACTGTTTCTGTGTACGGGGGTATAGGTAGCGTACCATCACCCGCAGCAATGAATATGGCTCAGATCGCAATAACAATAGTCAGGTGCAATATGGTGCAGTACTTTTGGTATGAGAGACCTTAAGACACACACTGATTCCGTGTACGGGTAGAACAGTGATACCATTATCACCGGAACTCCTTGGAAATCAAGATTACCTACTGCGCATGCGTGGCAAACAGGTTTGCCTACCCATAGACGAGGCATCCATGGAAAGCAGTTTTTGAGTTTCTGAAAGGACTGCTTGTTCTTGGTGGGGCAGCCTGCGTAGCTGGCGGGATCGTCAGTGCGCGCAAAGTTTTGACGGAGAAGATGTAGACTGTTTTATATAATGCTTATAAAATGTTTTCTCTGTATATTGTTTCTTCCACGGTATTGATCGATTTATGCAACAGAACACTGGAGAAACCTCCTCGGTGAAATAATTAAGCACCTGTCTTCAGTTTGCAGGGGAAAGCCAAAATTTTAATGAAGTAAACCGGGATAATGCACCAGGCAATGCACCCCCCGGACGGGACATAGCGGGGCATTTGACAATGCCCCGCACCCCTTGGTCAGCTTTTTCCTCTAACTGAAGCTAATGACCTCGCTCATATCCCCCGCTCTTGTCGAAAGGTGGAAGCAGGCTGATGTAAGGGTTTAAACTTTATTTGTCACGTAACACACGTCACCACATACAATGATTTTCAAGTTGTATAAAATAGTTGTGGTGTTTTTGTCTACAGTTAACATAATGAAATTCTACATTCTAGTTGGAGAGGGTTAGCAAATGCAGTTTAAAAATTTTTACAAACGCACTGTTTCATAGAATGAGTTTAAAGAACGCTTTCAAGGATTCTTGCCCCAGTCCACTTCGGCGGAAATACTCCGGTCCACTCCCCCGCTGCACTTGGATGAGGGTCTCAATGGGGTGGTAGCTTTTACGGTTATTGGATAAAATTTTGGCTCTTTTACGGCTATCGGTTAATTTTTTTCAGTTACGGTTAACGAAAAGGTTAAAAAATAACTTCTTTTGTTTCAAAAAGTTAAATATTAATTAACCTGTAATTTTTGGAATAAAGGTCTTCGGATCATCTCAGGATGAAATAAGCTATGCTTTTGAAAAATTTTAACACTGGATAGATCATACTATTTATAAAGTATTCCACTTCTGATATTATTTTACACAAAGAAATGTCAATAGTCAATTTAAAAATAATCTTTGTGAAAAAGCAAAAGCAGAGACGCGAACGCCAAATCAAGGCAGGGGCGCGAAATTCATTATAACAGAAATGGCCGTTTTCACACTAGAGAAGGATTATTCGTGCGAGACGGGTTGTCCATTTGATGGTTCGCGTCAGATAGGTAATACGTCTTAATTTGAAAATGGAATAGTTTTAATTTTGAATGAACAATCCGCCTGACTTTTGAAGATGGGATTATCCGTTTCAGATAACCTGTGTACAGCCGCTCCCTCCCCTCAGAAAAAATCGGAGAAGGGGTGTCTGTGGGGAGGACGCGACTGAACACAGGCTACCTCAGACGGATGATCCATTTCTAGCTCTAGTGTGAAAACGGCCGAGATTGCGTGGGGGAAGACTCCGTACAGGGACTAGGCATGGCAATGTCTACCGTAGCGTCAGAGAAAAACAGGGAAAAGCTGTTTATCGGCAACGTGTTTTACAAACAGTGACATCTCTGCGTGTTGTTTCACTAGTGTTTCGAGGGCACGACCTCCGGAAAATTGCAAATATTAATTCCCAGCAAGAAGCCACACTTTCGCTATGGAAAAAACTAGTTCCCCGAGAGAGCGCCGGTAATGGAGCCAAGGTCTTGGTTAACTCCTAAAAGGCGCTTCGCCTAACGTGCGTACGGAGTCACACTAGCCGGGAAATAAAAAACGTAACCATAGGTGAGTTTAGCACCTTCCCTTAAAAGCAGCAAATCTAGGAAACACTTTCTGTTACGGTTAACTCTTTTTTACCCTATTTACGGCTAACCGTTAAAATTTTTCAATTTTTACGGCTATCGGCGAAATTTTTGGCCGTTTTATGCCTATCGATTAACCCCATTAAGACCCTCTTGGATGGCGCACAAAAGTCGTCGAAGTCTCTTTCGCTCGTCAAATAATGAAAAATCCCTGCAAATGCCCCCCCCCCATGTCCCAGCCGAAGGAAGGGGTGGGGGGGGGGGGGGGGGGGGGTTACATTGACTGTAAGCTCCGGCATATTGATTCAAATGTGAGCCGTTTTTGCTAGATCGCCTGAAGCATCCCATTTACAACAGGTTACCAGCCTTTTCCGTCTTACGCTAAGCAGTAGCTGAGCATTTAAAACGAAGAAAAAAATTCTTGTTTGTTTAATTAAGGAATGCTGAATACTAAGGAGTTTTTGAAAATGGGCACATTATAATATATTACAGGCAACGTTTCTGTTTGATTACAGACGCGAAATTTTTCGTTCTGATTAAACTCCTCCGGAATTTCATTCTCGTTTCAGTCGAATTCATGAGTTCATGGAGCCTTTTGGGCGGATTCTCTCAGATTCTCTCATGACTGGTATCTACGTTTGAGTTCAAACTAGTCATTAATTTTCACTGAGAGAGTATTCACTCCTAGTACAAATTATAAATCTCCAAAACGAGCTAAAACGGTTGGCTTATTTTTTTCTAAAACGCCGCTTTAGCAAACTCGCAGTTTCTTTAAATCTTAATCAACAGAGTTAAAATACCGAAATACCGGTTTTANAGGGGGGGGGGGGGGGGGGGTGCGGAGGGTTACATTGACTGTAAGCTCCGGCATATTGATTCAAATGTGAGCCGTCTTTGCTAGATCGCCTGAAGCATCGCATTTACAACAGTGTACCAGCCTTTTCCGTCTTACGCTAAGCAGTAGCTGAGCATTTAAAACGAAGAAAAAAATTCTTGTTTGTTTAATTAAGGAATGCTGAATACTAAGGAGTTTTTGAAAATGGGCACATTATAATATATTACAGGCAACGTTTCTGTTTGATTACAGACGCGAAATTTTTCGTTCTGATTAAACTCCTCCGGAATTTCATTCTCGTTTCAGTCGAATTCATGAGTTCATGGAGCCTTTTGGGCGGATTCTCTCAGATTCTCTCATGACTGGTATCTACGTTTGAGTTCAAACTAGTCATTAATTTTCACTGAGAGAGTATTCACTCCTAGTACAAATTATAAATCTCCAAAACGAGCTAAAACGGTTGGCTTATTTTTTTCTAAAACGCCGCTTTAGCAAACTCGCAGTTTCTTTAAATCTTAATCAACAGAGTTAAAATACCGAAATACCGGTTTTAAATTACACGTCAACTTTTTTCATTAACTTAACTACAGAGAATAAACAAAGTTTAATAAACCGTCAGTAAAAGGAAAGTTCGAGAAGCCCTACCCGTAAAATTAATGTTCTGTTATGTCATCATCCGATCGACCTTATCCGCGTTGGTAAACTAACTAATTTTAAGAAAAGGAGAAGGAAAAGATAACTTAATTCCTTTTCAATCAATCCACAAGCAAAGCATTCTTTTTTTCTGTGTGAGAGATCTCCATAATTTTTCATATGATACGGAGGCCGAATTCAATAATTGTTTTGTTATTCAATCAAAATAATTCCTAGTTTAAAAACAAAGCTAAAACAAGCTTACCTCCATCGATGTTAAATTCATCTTCTATAGTGCACGTTTAGAGTTGTTCAGGTCTGCAAATTTTCTCCAAATAGCCACCAGATTCGTCGCCGAGATTTACTTGTAAAGTAAACTTGTCGAACACAAAAAATCCTGCCTAACTTTTTATCTTGGCCTACCTTTTAGAACAGAGGAATACAACGTGTAAATTGGCTGCCACCAAGGACTATCGTGGCGCGTGTGTTTCTTAAGATTATATTTCGGGGTTGTCCAATTATTCATAGTCTCTCAAACGGAGTAATGTTGGAGAGACTGGTGAATGCCACATTATGATGCAACAGCTAATGCAAATACAATACACGAATAGGTCTATTTGTTTTCGAGGCCTAATCTACTGTGATCGAACATGATTGCTATTTTTTGGTGTACAAATAAGACTATTAACTCGATGTAAAATTTATTTCACTCTTGGACTGTCAAATTATTTTTCTCTAAAATCACGTAGCCTTTCCTCAAAAGTCACATGAATGTGCCCTGATCTGTGGATTACAAGTTTATTGTTTGATTTAAATTATGAATTTATTAACGGGAGCTTCGCTTTTAGCCCTGGCTAAATCTATATATTATTTTTATTGTCGATACAAGCTGTTCATCGGTCACTCAAGAGTTCTTATAACAAAGTCGGTTATAAGAATCACCCCATAGGTAAGGGAATCCAATACATTCTTGGATTCTGTATCTCACGCCGTAGACTCCGGATTCCAGGTACTAGATTCCGGATTCTCCGTCAGTGGAATGGTATTCCGGACTCCAATCGTTAGTTGGATTCCAGATTCCTTGCGCTGTATTCCGGATTCAAAAGTCCAGGATTCTGGACTCAACAGGTAGCAATCTCCCGGCACGGGATTCCCCTACATGGAACTTAGTTATTTTTAGTACTCAGCAACAGTGAGGGACTGAGAGCTAGTTAATTAAGGATTGGATTGCAAAATTAATGCACTCTTCTAGCCGTGCTGACTTTAACACTGATAAGTAGTCGGTCAAACTCTTTTGTACGTTTAAACTAGTTTTTGTTTTGAAAATCTATATCTTAGGTGACTGCGGTCAACACAACCGACGCATCACGTTTCTGACACCAGCCAGAGGGTTTTACCTTGAAGGACACGTGATTTCAAATCATTCTGTGGAACTAAATCTTGACTGCCAAGACCAATGCGCCCTTGCGAGGGAATGTGTTTCTTATAATATTGGTCCAATGATAAACACCAAGATGGCCTGTGAACTGAGTAACTCAGATCACTTGCAACACCCAGAGGATCTCAAACCAAGAAAAGACTTGACCTACAGAGGCACAGAGGTATTTATCCCCTCCTAGATGAATTTTGAACCATCTCATCATAGTGGTGGATTTATGACGATTCTAAGCCAGTGATGAAAAAGATGATAAAAATGACGGTGTTGGCGGCATATGCAATGTGCTATAATTCTATAATTTATTCCAAATTTAACAACTTACATAATGCATAATTGCTGAAGCTGATCCAGTGAATAATTCATTGCAACTGTTTTCCTTTTAACAGAATCTTTGCGCCACTGAGCCCTGCCTGAACAACGGAACGTGCTACATGGGATATACCGTAAAGAAGTACATTTGCGCATGCCCAGCTGGCTTCAAAGGGGAAAATTGCGAAATAAAAGGTACTTTCATCAGAACATTAAGCTACCTGAAGGGGTAGGGGGTTATCAGTTATGGTTTTTGCGCTCTCTCCTCTTCTGTCGTCCTCCATCTAGTCAGCTAAGCCATTTACAAGTTTTCTTCCTTTATCTTCTTTTTTGTAATAAATTTAAAGTCATACAAAAGAGAATAAGGCAAATATCAACACATAGTTCGCAGTATTTATTCCTTTTTTCCAGTTTACAAGATCTACGATGATTTTGCCAAGTAGGACAACGATTAAACAGCAATGAGGGTGTATATACTTAGCCTGTGTACAGATGCCCCCTCAGTAAAAAAAGATTCCCCTTTCCCGGTTTTTTACTAAGAGGAGGGGGCGTATGTATACCGGCTAAGTACATACTGTCACCGAACACAGCCGATGGGAGATGGATTGGACACTCTAAAAATGACTTGATGGGGGCTTGGTACTACTGCACACCGTATTAGCGATCTACTCCAATCCGTTTGTTGGCTTTGTTTGTAAGTGATGTTTTATTCAAATACAGTTAGTAGTAAATATAGTGGCTGCTAATATCACGCCTATCATATTGCGTTAAAGTGATAAAGCTTGGAAACGCTACACTGTTCATTCATTCAGTTAATTCAAGTTCGCAGAAATTGTGCTGAGGTCTATGATGCCGGTTTTCGAACCAGTGGTGTCTACACTATCGACCCTGATGGTGCTGGAGCCTTTGATGTGTACTGTGACCAAACAGACAGCCGGTGGCGGATGGACTGTGTTCCGAAAGAGACTGGACGGCTCGGTAGATTTCTATTGCGGCTGGGACGACTACAAACGAGGCTTTGGAATCTGAATGGTGAGTTTTGGCTCGGGCTGGACAAGATTCATCGACTAACTAAAGGACGCAGCAGGCTTTGGGTTGATCTGGAAGACTTCGACAACCAAACAGCTTACGCTGAATACCACTCATTTGGTGTTGGTGATGAACAGAGCAAGTACAAGCTTGAACGTCTTGGACAATGTGCTGGTAAGACACAACAACATAGTTAACAATTTAAAGAAATAATAATGAAGTTCTACGCCGTCGTAAGGTCAGTGCAGCAATTTACATGTTTATACGATTTATGGGCGCGATCTGAGAGCCCACGTGCACGCTACCATTTTTTGGGCAAACCTTTCTATCAAATGAAAGTGAGTCTGAGTATTATAAGGATGTAATATTTTACGTTGGAAAATTCAATGGACTGTATATTGTATATAAAACTGTAAGTTAAAAAAAATTATTTCTCAATCCTTCACTTTTCCAATTTTAAGGAGCACTAGCTTCAGCTACGTGCTCACTAACTCGTGAATTGTCATAATAACAGCCAGCATTTCTCGAATAATGTTCCAAAAGGACGGAATAATCGGTCAGAGGAGCAATCTTGGCCGAGATATGTGATTTTCACAAAGGTGATATTTAGAGGCTGGTGATTAAACGGAAATCTAGTTCCTGAACGTTCGCACATTTAAATCAATTCTTTAAAACGTCACCAAGTCCACCAGGATTAAGGCCCCGTACACACTTATACGCTGAGCATTTTCATCCATCGATTTGAAAAAGCTATTGAAAGTGGATCAAAACAAAAGCGCATAGGGTGGATGGTCGAAAACGGTCGAAAGGCGCATCAAAATGAAAACGATGGCGTCATATGTACCACGTGGGTCGTAAAATATCGCATGAGCGTGTATTTGCAGTATGCGCGTAGGGTTCAAATTACGTCAAAACGTGCAATTCTACCGTTTAGGGAACGTTTTAGTGTGGACAGTCAAAAACACATCAAAACGGTAGTTTTGGACGCGAATCGATCGATGCGTTTTCGTTTGCAACTAAAACGCCTAATTTTGAAAACGCATTAGTGTGAACAGGGTCTTATTGTCACACACCAAGAGAGCATAATAACCCCGACTCTATCTGACAACACTGAATAAAAGTTTGCGACCTCTCCAGAAACCAACTTCCGATAAATTTCAACATAGTTAGCTTTTAAAGTGAAATTCACATATTCTAAGGGCGAGAATGGGTGTTTCCCTCTCTGTTCCATTCTTCTCTTTGTTCCAAGACTCGTGCTGAGAACTATCTTCCCAACGAAGTATATTCAAGTGTCAATTGTATTTAGGTCGAAAGTGCTTAGTGAGGACAATCCCACTGGAGACTGAACTGCCGCGTGAGGGTCAATCCGCTTGCAAAGCAAAGGCTGTACGTACCCTGGAAAGGCCATCATTACTCCGCCAAACGGGCCGAAATGAAAATCAAACCAGTAGAAGCCTAATCTGTACAGTTGAGCCCTGTATACGGAAACCGAAGGGACAAAGCAAATATTATGAAAATATCCGTTTCAAAGACGTCACTACCATGACTTCGCATTTAAGACTCCTGTGATAGNTTTTTAAAAAAGAAAAAAAAAAAGAAAATTTTGAGAGTATTTGCCCCCCGCTCCCCGCGATGAAAGACCTCCGTCCCACCCCCCCTTTTTTTTATCTTTTAAAATTTTGGAAAAATCCCTGAATTCGCCCCTTTTGTCCCCGGTGAAGGGGAAAAAGGGGGGGGGGGGGGGGGGGGGGGTATATTGAGTGGTGCATTAAGCTCCGGCATATTGATTCAAATGTGAGCCGTCTTTTCTAGATCGCCTGAAGCATGTCATTTACGACAGTGTACCAGCCTCAGTTTCCGTCTGCTTAGCAGTAGCTGACCATTTCAAAACAAAGAAAAAATTCTTGTTTAGATAAGGAAATTGCTGAATACTAAAGAGTTTCTGAAAATGGGCACATTATAATATAGTGCAAGCAACGTTTCTGTTTGATTATAAACGCGAAATTTTTCGTTCTGATTAAACTAGACCGGAATTTCATTCTCGTTTCAGTCGAGTTCATGAGTTCATGAAGCCTTTTAAGCGGATTCTCTCAGCTTTTGTCATCGTATTTTGGTTCTTTCACAATGGGCAAGAAATTAAATGAAGAGGACATGCAGAGAATGAGTTTTAACACGTACTCAGAAAATGCAAACGATATATTTGTTGTGTCTATTTTCACAAAAAAAAACAATAACTTCTAATTAAAAACCTATAGCACCAATTATGCAATTTTCCTTAGTCTTCATTGAATATTAATTTTATGTTTTAATGGACGTCATACTGATGCCAAGCGCGCTATTGTTGTTTGTTTTTTACAATGTTTAGCATTTGAAGTCATTATGTTTCTATATTTGGTGTCTATGGGGGGGACAAATGACTGCATGGTATCTACGTTTGAGTTCAAACTAGTCATTAATTTTCACTGAGAAAGTATTCACTCTTAGTACAAATTATAAATCTCCAAAACGAGCTAAAACGGTTAGCTTATTTTTTTCTAAAACGCTTTAGCAAACTCGCAGTTTCCTTAAATTTTAATCAACAGAGTTAAAATACCAGTTTTAAATTACACGTCAACTTTTTTCATTAACTTAACTAAAGAGAATAAACAAAGTTTAATCAGCCGTCAGTAAAAGGGAAGTTCGAGAAGCCCTACCCGTAAAATTAATGTTCTGTTATTTCATCATCCGACCGACCTTATCCGCGTTGGTAAACTAATTTAAAGAAAAGGAGAACGAAAAGATAACTTGATTCCTTTTCAATCAATCCACCAGCAAAGCATTCTTTTTTTCTGTGTGAACTCAGGCGTTACTGAATTTTTTAATATTAATTCATTCTTATTGGGCATTGAAAGCGGAAAATCGATCTTGAAATTAACCATAAAATACTCTTTTCAAAAATTGCAACTGAACATCACATTTTCACGCTACTACGAAAATACGAAAATTCATGTCAGTACTGCCGTGAACAAAAAAGGTAGTTATACTTGAAAGGAAACGAGAGAGAACTTGGAGAAACCAGTCACCATCTCATCAAGAATTAGGAGCTCAGAATCTATCACATATACCTTAAAAGGTGAAATATATGAAATTAATAAATCGAAAAAAGAATAAAATGAATAAAAAGCGATAAGCTTACATTTATCTGTAGATTTATCATATTTATTCTAAGGGAATCCTACAGTTGGAGCTGACTTGAACAATTTTGAAGACGCAAAGTGTGCCAATAAATTATTAACTATCTAATTAAGACGTCAAGATGTTTAACTATTAAATGACTAAGCCCGCTAACATTTCTGCTTTTCCGTAATAACTGTCCTATCACAATCGGGAGCGGTTCATTCCCTGTCAAGGCCTTCACCATGGCAAGTCGTTTAGCTATGTTCGCGGTCTTGCTGGGTTTGGCTGTTTGGGGAGCTTGGCTAAACTACGTTGCAACTGCTCGCGTTGAAGGTGAGACCGGTAAACAGATTTAGCTATTTTTCATTTGCAGGCGTTCTTGGCCAGCATCAGTTATATAACCTTTTCATTTGCGTCTTTAGCTGCGAAGATTATATACACAAAAGACCTTAAAGGGTCGCAACTCTAGGAAACTCGAAATTGAAAGATTTTGTCCGGAGCGCCGACGACTGAATCGCCACCTGAACCGTGAGCCTGAGTTACATACAACTTAAGTATGTTACGAACGCGAATTTTTCAGTCAGGCTTAGGTTAAGTTGGGTAAAATCTGTAGATATTTAACTAACACTCAACGGAGATTTTGCCATCACGAGAGAAACTTTAAAATTATCGTGTTCAAAATATGAAATAAAAAACTAGTACAAAATTTCCAAAACAAGCAAAACTTTTTGTTTTCTTTTTTCTAAAAAAAAATCTTTACTAGAAAAGCAACCCTGCATTAAATTTTAATAAACAATTGGAGGTGAAATATCATTCTTGAATTATGTTACAAGCCAACTTTCTTTAAAATGTATAACAGATACTGAATAAAATTTAAGTCGTCTTTAAACGGGAAGCTCGTAAAGGTCACACCCTTGTAGTGTTTTCCCGGTCACCGAGATTTGAAGAGAAAGCTCGGTTACCGTTAGAATGCTGGCGGAAAAGGTTTGAAGCCCGAGGTACTCCCGTTAATAATGACCTATACGGGGAGACTCAGCCCGAAGGGGGCTCCCAATTTGTAGCGTAGGGATTTCACTAATAGTTGAAGTATATGAAAAGGGAGGGAGATCTGTCACTTCGGTCTGTAAAAAGGCCCAAAATAGCTAACAGGTGCATTTTCTGTTCTGGTTTAGTAATTTATTCATAGCGGAGTTCTCGCGTGCGCGAAGCGAAGTTCCATGGGTAAGAAAATTTCGTTATCTATACATTCAAGAAATTTTGCTTCTGAGAAAATCATCCTTACGATCGGCCGTAGGAAACTCAACCCTCTCATGTAAGCTGCGGTGAAATTTTGCATTTCAAGCACCTGCCGCGCGTTTCGTCATGGCCACCCGGATCCTTAGAAAGAATAAAAGAACAACAACAACAAAGCCGATTCTTTCTTTCGACTAAATTTCAGTGTCTACATTAATGTGGATAACAGAGAAAAAGCTAGACAGAGATAAAAATCAAAGGAAACCAATCTTGTTAGGAGTGAGAAAACTGACATGAAAATTTTATACCGGCAGTGAGAAAATGAGAAATGCTAGCGGCCACCAAGGTGAAAATGATTATAAGCGACAGTGAAAAAAAGTGAACAGGAACACATACGACATTTGCTCCATAAAACGCGTTACTATGAAGTTTCTGGAAGTTTCACGTTGTAGTCGTGCAAAACAACGACAAAGAAATGTACAAAAAAAGAATTTGTGCTGCACCCAGCAATTTTTTTTTTTGTAATTAGACCTACTGATTTTATTTTGGCTGTTTTCGCTGCCGTCTCCGCTTAGCATTACACGATTTTATATTTTGTTTGAGTAAACTATAAAAATTAACGAGAGCTACGCTTTTAGCCCTGGCTAAACTCCGCTATATATTAAAGGCAGCACATTTACAGCAGTCAAAAGAGAGACAAAATGAATGTTCTAAACTAGGTTTGTGAAAGGGGTACAATTTTGTCAATAGAAGGTATATAAAACGGGTACCCTTTCTGGCAAAAATGGTATTTAAAAGGGTAAGGGGTTGGATATCGGAAGGAGCCGTCCCATATAAAATTTTGTTGAGTACCCCCGGGCTCTGAACAGTTTTGAATAAGAAAATGCATCTCCAGGTTTAATACAAAAATGGAATTGGATTATACATGAGCGCGAGTAAAATTTTTGCACTGGCTCGTTGAAAGGTCAAGTAATACGGGCAACATTTTCGTTCAACCTGTCGCACAACATTGTTGCATTGCAAGTTGAAAAGCGTTGTTTCTCTTATTTCCACCTTCGCTCCCAACTTGTCACGCAGCAAATTTCAATGTTGCAAGTTGCGGCAACATATTGTCGCGCAAAGTAGGCCTGAGTTCTACTTTTTGCAACAAAATTTCAATTTTATGATTTGCGTCACAACTTGCTATGCTTCACAACACTTGTGATTGTTCAGTTTTCCAGCACCAAAAGTGCCGGAAAGATGGTGAGTAAGTGCGCGCTTGACCTCGGGCAAATTTTGGGCAGGAAGTAAATGACGCGTTAGGACGAGCGCAATTTGCGGTCTTTGAAAATTTCACAGGTCCTCTGCATTTCTTGCAAATTACATGAGAAAAATCATGTGATTACTAATTAATATACATACCGTTATTGAAATGCAATAAAGTCAATCAAATCCTCTCTCAAATTGTATCAATTTCTGTTTCAGGAACCTGCGGACAAAACAGCCGACGCATCACATTTCTGACACCAGTTAGTGGGTTTTACCTTGAAGGACACGTGTTTTCAAATCATTCTGTGGAACTAAACCTAGACTGCCAAGACCAATGCGCCCTTGCGAGGGAATGTGTTTCATATAATATTGGTCCAAAGATCAACAACAAGATGGCTTGTGAACTCAGCAATTCCGATCACTTTCAGCACCCAGAAGATCTCAAACCAAGAAAGGACTGGATTTACAGAGGGACAACGGTATGATCTGTAAATTTGTATAAATGTATATAACTTTATTTCTTGTAATAATTGCAACTCTATTAAAGCGTGTCACGAGTCAATAGAAAGATTGTTGTTGTTGTTGTTGTTGCAAATAATGTTGTCAAGTCAAGATGAATTTTTGAACCATTTCCACCATCACGTAGTGGTTGATTTATGATAATTCCAAGCTTTACTGATGATAAAGATGATAAAAATGTCGGTGTTGGCGGTATATGCAGTTTCGTATAATTTATTTAAAATTCTAAATCTCCCTTGCGGATTAGCTGCAATCCGCCCTTTGAATTTTCATAATTACACTTTAATTTAAAAACTTGGATGATTTATATCCATTTTTCCGCGATGCATAATTATGTGTTTGTATTATTGGATGCTCGACGACGGTCGCCTAACTTACAAAAAAAAAAAGAATAACATACTGTCGCAAATTAAAAAGAGAACAGTTTTGGGAGTAAAGAAAAGAGTTCAAAACTTAAGGCACTAAAAAAAGGTACAGTTGAACTTCCATTAAGTGCCCATTATTATTATTATTATTATTATTGACTTTCGGTTTTTGTTTTCGAGCCTTTTTGGACTGCCGGTCGCGCGGGATATTTTTTCGTTCCAAAAGCAGTGTTTTTTTCCTTTCGTTTACGTTTGAATTAAAATTATTGCAAAATTCCAGCGAAAGAATAACGGAAAGGTTTAAATAGGAACAGGATTAATCGTAGTTCATCATAACCAAGGAGAAGCTGATTTAAATAACAATTCATTGAAGCTGCGTTTCTTTTAACAGAATCTTTGCGCCAGTCAGCCCTGTCTGAACAACGGAACGTGCTACATGGGATATACCGAGAAGAACTACGTTTGCGCTTGCACAGCTCGCTTCAAAGGTGAAAACTGCGAAATAAAAGGTACTCTCATCCCATAGTTGTCACCTCTATTAAGCGGCCATCAGGCACTTGACCGACTATTTTTTGTAAGTTTGGCTTTATTTCAAGAATATGAAGAAGGAAAACCGTCCGAGATAGAAGTTGACGACCGATTGTGGACCAGTAATGCTGGCCCCGTCGCGTTTTTTTTCTTTTTTTTTTTAATAAGGTAACATTTCTGCAAAAGATTATGCTAATTTATGACGAGGTTATATGACTAACTTCTAAGTCACACGTCTTTCATATTGCATTAAAGTGATAAGGATTCGAAAGGCTGTCGCTTCATTCGTGTTTTCCAGTCTACAGCAATTGTGCTGAGCTCTATGAAGCCGGTTTGCGAACCAGTGGTGTCTACACTATCGACCCTGATAGTACTGGAGCCTTTGATGTTTATTGTGACCAAACAACTGCCGGTGGGGGATGGACTGTGTTCCAAAAGAGACTGGACGGCTCGGTTGATTTCTATCTCGGCTGGCACGACTACAAACGAGGCTTTGGAAATCTGAATGGTGAATTTTGGCTCGGACTAGAAAAGATTCACCGACTGACAAAAGAACAAAGCAGGCTTCGGGTAGACCTGGAAGACTTCGAAAACCAAACAGCTTACGCTGAATACGACTCCTTCGGTGTGGGTGATGAAAAGAGCAAGTACAAGCTGGGACGTCTTGGACAATACGCTGGTAAGCATAATACTACACAGGAGCCTATAATGGACTCCTGTACTACATTAATGATGAAAACCATAAAAAGGGGTAACGTTTAGGTTACTATTTGAGAGGTGCCAGTTATTCAAAATTTAAAAACTTAGAAATTTAGAAAACTGGCAACTGTCGTCCGGTATTCCTGTACCCGATCTTTAACTCAGACGTTTCTTGGTTTCACCGATCTACTATGTTTCAGCGATTGCATTGTTTTAACGCGATTCTTAGTGTTGCAAGAATAGTTTGTTCATAGTAGCTTGCTATAAGCGCGCGTGATTATTCCAACTCGATCACAGGCCCGGGATCTAGGATCCTTAGACGTGGGATCGGGATCAGTAGTGCTGTGAGGTGATCAGGGACAGTTTTCCGACAAAAAAATGCTTTAATGGCAAGGACCTGCCCTCGTTTGCAAACTCAGTTGTATTATTGGTGTAACAATTTGTTCCGGTACTTAAGTGTACACAATACGACTTTATTTTGATAGTGGCGTTGACTCATTTTGTTTTGACTCATTTTTTTGTAACTATACCTTACATTCAATGAAATACCGAATTGGCCTGGGTTTTTTGACTGCCAAATAAGGACTTAATAAGAAAATTCATACAATGGACATTACCTTTTGCCAATGATTTCTCTCTGCGCCCCGAACAATGATTTTATACATGCCCTTTCGACAATGAAAGACGAGGTTTTTCAGTGGACAAACCCCTGTTATCACAGCAATTCTTATTGCTCTTGGTACATACTGTAACTTGTATTTTTCTGCTGACCATGCTCAAGAGACAATACATGGTCTCTTGCAAGCCTTTAGCAGCTCCCGATCCCAAGCCTCTGATCAACGCAAATATCAAGTGGCAAGTGTCGGGAGAAGACGGCAAATAATGAAGCCTGTTCTTATTATGTTAGGGAGAAAGTGTGCGAAACATCTTAACCAGACTTACAAAGGCTACAAGGCGAAGGAGTAGTCTATCCTGGCTCTGTAAAATAATGTACTTTCTAACTTAGCTCGTTGTTCGGCAGGCCAGTGGCCTTTATCATTGCCCAAAGAGAACTCAGTCTGATCTCGTTTTGCCACTTAAAACTTAATCAAAATTCTCAAAAAGTCGTGCCTTTTGCAGGTACCTTTTTTGAATAGCTCTCCCAGCTTACTCCAACCTCAGTGAGCTGGTAAACTGCTTACAATTATGTCATGGGGTAACTCAACCGAATATAATCGAAATCTACATCAGTAAGAGGATTAAGTGAGTTGGTGAGGTATACAACTAGAGGTCATGTGGCTGAAAAGAGTTCACTTGGTCAACTGGTGCTACCAAGGCGACGACTGAGAAAAAGCTAGCTAGTGCAAACCCCATTTATTCTGAATCAATCAGCCAATCTTACTGACATTTCTTTTTGTGTGAATAAAACTTTGCTAAATGGGATTGATCTCTTTTTAAAACGGCAAAAAACAAAAAGTGTTTGGTTTGTTACGGAAACGTGACGGATATAAGAAACTTCCCGTTTCCGTCGAGTTTACAAAATACGGAAACACGTCATTTCGTCTTGTGAAACGCTCTATAATGTGAGCCGTCTAAAGTGTAACTATTATGATAGAATTAATGATAACTAATGGAACTGGAGTAAGTATCCGGAGCAAATGTGTGGACTAGAAAGTATCACCCGTTTACGTTTATTTACAAGGAAAAAGTATGCCAAGTCACAGTTCAGATAAAATAACTAAAGATTAAAGAGTGTGATAAGTAGACTGTAACATAGTTGAGGTTAAATGCCCTATTTGTAACGGTAAAAATGCCCGTTTAACTTATTTGGAGTGCCGCTGCTCTCTCACTTTCCCGCCGAAACGTCTAAAGAAAGGTTAGTTAGGACCATTAATAAAAATTTATGGTAAGAAATGAGATTTGTGTTTATAATTTTAGGAACTGCTGGTGACTCTCTTACATGGCATCATAATATGTCATTCTCAGAAGGACACGTGTTTTCAAATCATTCTGTGGAACTAAACCTAGACTGCCAAGACCAATGCGCCCTTGCGAGGGAATGTGTTTCATATAATATTGGTCCAAAGATCAACAACAAGATGGCCTGTGAACTCAGCAATTCCGATCACTTTCAGCACCCAGAAGATCTCAAACCAAGAAAGGACTGGATTTACAGAGGGACAAAGGTATGATCTGTAAATTTGTATAAATGTATATAACTTTATTTCTTGTAATAATTGCAACTCTATTAAAGCGTGTCACGAGTCAATAGAAAGATTGTTGTTGTTGTTGTTGTTGTTGCAAATAATGTTGTCAAGTCAAGATGAATTTTTGAACCATTTCCACCATCACGTAGTGGTTGATTTATGATAATTCCAAGCTTTACTGATGATAAAGATGATAAAAATGTCGGTGTTGGCGGTATATGCAGTTTCGTATAATTTATTTAAAATTCTAAATCTCCCTTGCGGATTAGCTGCAATCCGCCCTTTGAATTTTCATAATTACACTTTAATTTAAAAACTTGGATGATTTATATCCATTTTTCCGCGATGCATAATTATGTGTTTGTATTATTGGACGCTCGACGACGGTCGCCTAACTTACAAAAAAAAAAAGAATAACATACTGTCGCACATTAAAAAGAGAACAGTTTTGGGAGTAAAGAAAAGAGTTCAAAACTTAAGGCACTAAAAAAAGGTACAGTTGAACTTCCATTAAGTGCCCATTATTATTATTATTATTATTATTGACTTTCGGTTTTTGTTTTCGAGCCTTTTTGGACTGCCGGTCGCGCGGGATATTTTTTCGTTCCAAAAGCAGTGTTTTTTTCCTTTCGTTTACGTTTGAATTAAAATTATTGCAAAATTCCAGCGAAAGAATAACGGAAAGGTTTAAATAGGAACAGGATTAATCGTAGTTCATCATAACCAAGGAGAAGCTGATTTAAATAACAATTCATTGAAGCTGCGTTTCTTTTAACAGAATCTTTGCGCCAGTCAGCCCTGTCTGAACAACGGAACGTGCTACATGGGATATACCGAGAAGAACTACGTTTGCGCTTGCACAGCTCGCTTCAAAGGTGAAAACTGCGAAATAAAAGGTACTCTCATCCCATAGTTGTCACCTCTATTAAGCGGCCATCAGGCACTTGACCGACTATTTTTTGTAAGTTTGGCTTTATTTCAAGAATATGAAGAAGGAAAACCGTCCGAGATAGAAGTTGACGACCGATTGTGGACCAGTAATGCTGGCCCCGTCGCGTTTTTTTTCTTTTTTTTTTAATAAGGTAACATTTCTGCAAAAGATTATGCTAATTTATGACGAGGTTATATGACTAACTTCTAAGTCACACGTCTTTCATATTGCATTAAAGTGATAAGGATTCGAAAGGCTGTCGCTTCATTCGTGTTTTCCAGTCTACAGCAATTGTGCTGAGCTCTATGAAGCCGGTTTGCGAACCAGTGGTGTCTACACTATCGACCCTGATAGTACTGGAGCCTTTGATGTTTATTGTGACCAAACAACTGCCGGTGGGGGATGGACTGTGTTCCAAAAGAGACTGGACGGCTCGGTTGATTTCTATCTCGGCTGGCACGACTACAAACGAGGCTTTGGAAATCTGAATGGTGAATTTTGGCTCGGACTAGAAAAGATTCACCGACTGACAAAAGAACAAAGCAGGCTTCGGGTAGACCTGGAAGACTTCGAAAACCAAACAGCTTACGCTGAATACGACTCCTTCGGTGTGGGTGATGAAAAGAGCAAGTACAAGCTGGGACGTCTTGGACAATACGCTGGTAAGCATAATACTACACAGGAGCCTATAATGGACTCCTGTACTACATTAATGATGAAAACCATAAAAAGGGGTAACGTTTAGGTTACTATTTGAGAGGTGCCAGTTATTCAAAATTTAAAAACTTAGAAATTTAGAAAACTGGCAACTGTCGTCCGGTATTCCTGTACCCGATCTTTAACTCAGACGTTTCTTGGTTTCACCGATCTACTATGTTTCAGCGATTGCATTGTTTTAACGCGATTCTTAGTGTTGCAAGAATAGTTTGTTCATAGTAGCTTGCTATAAGCGCGCGTGATTATTCCAACTCGATCACAGGCCCGGGATCTAGGATCCTTAGACGTGGGATCGGGATCAGTAGTGCTGTGAGGTGATCAGGGACAGTTTTCCGACAAAAAAATGCTTTAATGGCAAGGACCTGCCCTCGTTTGCAAACTCAGTTGTATTATTGGTGTAACAATTTGTTCCGGTACTTAAGTGTACACAATACGACTTTATTTTGATAGTGGCGTTGACTCATTTTGTTTTGACTCATTTTTTTGTAACTATACCTTACATTCAATGAAATACCGAATTGGCCTGGGTTTTTTGACTGCCAAATAAGGACTTAATAAGAAAATTCATACAATGGACATTACCTTTTGCCAATGATTTCTCTCTGCACCCCGAACAATGATTTTATACATGCCCTTTCGACAATGAAAGACGAGGTTTTTCAGTGGACAAACCCCTGTTATCACAGCAATTCTTATTGCTCTTGGTACATACTGTAACTTGTATTTTTCTGCTGACCATGCTCAAGAGACAATACATGGTCTCTTGCAAGCCTTTAGCAGCTCCCGATCCCAAGCCTCTGATCAACGCAAATATCAAGTGGCAAGTGTCGGGAGAAGACGGCAAATAATGAAGCCTGTTCTTATTATGTTAGGGAGAAAGTGTGCGAAACATCTTAACCAGACTTACAAAGGCTACAAGGCGAAGGAGTAGTCGATCCTGGCTCTGTAAAATAATGTACTTTCTAACTTAGCTCGTTGTTCGGCAGGCCAGTGGCCTTTATCATTGCCCAAAGAGAACTCAGTCTGATCTCGTTTTGCCACTTAAAACTTAATCAAAATTCTCAAAAAGTCGTGCCTTTTGCAGGTACCTTTTTTGAATAGCTCTCCCAGCTTACTCCAACCTCAGTGAGCTGGTAAACTGCTTACAGTTATGTCATGGGGTAACTCAACCGAATATAATCGAAATCTACATCAGTAAGAGGATTAAGTGAGTTGGTGAGGTATACAACTAGAGGTCATGTGGCTGAAAAGAGTTGGTCAACTGGTGCTACCAAGGCGACGACTGAGAAAAAGCTAGCTAGTGCAAACCCCATTTATTCTGAATCAATCAGCCAATCTTACTGACATTTCTTTTTGTGTGAATAAAACTTTGCTAAATGGGATTGATCTCTTTTTAAAACGGCAAAAAACAAAAAGTGTTTGGTTTGTTACGGAAACGTGACGGATATAAGAAACTTCCCGTTTCCGTCGAGTTTACAAAATACGGAAACACGTCATTTCGTCTTGTGAAACGCTCTATAATGTGAGCCGTCTAAAGTGAAACTATTATGATAGAATTAATGATAGCTAATGGAACTGGAGTAAGTATCCGGAGCAAATGTGTGGACTAGAAAGTATCACCCGTTTACGTTTATTTACAAGGAAAAAGTATGCCAAGTCACAGTTCAGATAAAATAACTAAAGATTAAAGAGTGTGATAAGTAGACTGTAACATAGTTGAGGTTAAATGCCCTATTTGTAACGGTAAAAATGCCCGTTTAACTTATTTGGAGTGCCGCTGCTCTCTCACTTTCCCGCCGAAACGTCTAAAGAAAGGTTAGTTAGGACCATTAATAAAAATTTATGGTAAGAAATGAGATTTGTGTTTATAATTTTAGGAACTGCTGGTGACTCTCTTACATGGCATCATAATATGTCATTCTCTACCAAAGATCAAGACAATGACCTGAATCCTGGCAAGAACTGTGCCATTGCATTTGAGGGAGCCTGGTGGTACAATAAATGTAATGCCTCCAACTTAAATGGTCGTTATCTTAATGGGAATCACTCCTCTTATGCCAACGGTGTAAACTGGGTTCACGGGAAAGGCCATCATTACTCCGCCAAACGCGCTGAAATGAAAACTAAACCAGTAAAAGCCTGATCCGGACAGTTGAGCCCTGTATACAGACATTGAAGGGACAAAGCAACTACTATGGAGACTTCCGTTTTAAAGAGGTCACCACGATAACACTAGTCGTCACATTTAAGACTCCGCTGATAGTTTTATGTAGCCTAAACATGCAACAAGCGTTATTGAGGGCGCTCAGAAGGGCTCTGGTGCTCGCAACCCAAAACCCACCTGGATCACCCAAATAACGTTTGTTGCGCCCAGGCTAGTCTTAAGTGTTAAGCAACCAAATAGTACGTAGTTCCACAATTGTTTATAACCTGTATCTTAATTGATCATTGTACAGTAGTGAAACACTGAAGGCCATTTATACGACACGTCTCGGATAAAATGCGTCGCTTACATAAGACGCGCACTTCCGTTATAAAGTGACACACGTTGTCTGAAATTAGACGTTACTTATTAGCAAAGGCGTTTATTATTATTACTAGTAATAAGCAAAGGTTAGGGAGTGCGGGCGGCAACGATCGGAGGTCAAAACGCTTTTGCTCCGACGCTGTGCTTTGCGTAAGTTTCTCGTGACAGATGGTCAAAACACGCGTGATCAGACTACGAGGGGTAGAAGGTCGAAACGCTCGTGACCAAATTGCGTTTTTTGCATTCCATTCATTCTTAGTAAAAGTTTAAACGAATACTGGCTACATACTTGCGACGGATGCGTAATAACCTGGAAATTAGAATTGCGGGCTCCTCTTGTCGCCTGCAATTATTATTGTTATTATTATCATTATTATTGATTTCTTTTATTGAAAAAACAGCTGGTACAACCTGTGCTTAGATAATTAAAGAAAATCTGCTATAATTATCTCCGCTTTAGGAGCCGATCACTCCTAATCGATTGTTATTTTAACACTCACCTTGTGGGATTGGCAGCATTCACCAAGAAATGAGTGCGTGAAAAGAAATAAGGCTTGAACCAGACGCGAACCACTTATACGAGCTGTTCGCGTCTTATGTAAGACACTATTCAGTTCACGTCTTATTTAAGACGCGCATTTTTCCCTTGATAATTGACCTGTGTAAGTCTATAATGATCAGTGGTGTTCTACTTTGTATATCTGCACTGAAAGACCAATTAGCGGTAATCCGGGATTAAACTTTTGTTCCGTTTTTGTATTCACCTTCCTAATGTATGGCTTAGAGTTACATTTTGAGTTATTATTACTGTATCTCCGAGTAAAGGCTCAACAGTATTTTGTAAACACGAGTTACACGTTCATAGACAAGAAAATCTTTGGCTTAATCTTGGTTTAAACTTTAATTTTTTCTCGGCCCTGAGCTACGGACTGAGGTTTCAAGAGAAACGATCAACAACGCACAAAGCTGTATGCACACTTTCTCTTTGGATGTGCACTTTGTTTTAAGATGAAAAAAATGATAATCGTTTTCATTATCATAATAGTCATGATCATAATCTTATAATAGTAAATTAAAGTAGAAGAAAAAGAAGAAGATTGGAAGAAAACGACGACGACGACGAAAAAAAGAAAGAGTAGGAATTCACATGGCGGCTCTTCACTTGTCCATGGCCGCCAACCATTCTAACCTACTGAATATTATAATGTCTGGAGAAATAAAAAATATGTGCAATGTGAATAAAAGAAAAACAGTGTGCATTAATATAACCGTGCATGTATTGCAACTACAAAGAGTCATCACCTGATACCACAATGTCCGTTCTAGAGAGGTTAGTTTATATGAATGATCTCTCCTTTCTCTCTTGGGTAGAGACTATACTTGCCACAAGTCGACTGCGTGAGCGCTGAAGGCGCGAGGGACGCTTGCAAAGCGACCGACGCCCAGCAAAAACCGGAAACGGGATGAGAAAGTATAGGTATAGACTCGAGGCGCCTCCATTGGGTATTTAGTGAAAACTCTCCCAAAAAGCAAATTTCATTTTCAAGTTGATCGTTCTAGTCGGTTTGAGTCCTGACTTTTCTGGTAATCGCCCCCTTCCTGGTCCTTTTTCCTTTTATATATGGAGTCTTTTTTAATCTCTTCAGAGGAAAAATTATGAGAATTTTGTCAGAAAATTGTCCGTGATAAAGAGGTGTTTTATTGAGGTGGTTCGACTGTATGTAATCTGCAGGTTTTTTTTTTTGTAACACATATATTTTTAGGAATTGTCAGGTGCAAAAGTGGTGCAGTACCTTTATATAAGAGATCTTAACATACCGTAAATTATATAATTGACCCCCCCACCCCTCCTCCCAAAAAAACGTCTCTCGTCTAAAAAACGCCCCTATAGCTACAATGTTTGTATTAGACGCCCCTCTCTAATAAACGCCCTTTATCTAATAGACGACCTCCACGACAGTTATTTCAAAATTCTAGGGAAAAGTAAAAAGGAGCAAGATCATTTAATATACTGTTTCTTACTTGATCAACAAGGGTTTTCTCATTGCATCTCGTTTAATGTCAATTCAATGTATATGTAAGGATAGACTAAAGATGACTACACAACGAGCCTGAGCTAGGATTCTGACATCGAAGTAGCAAATATGGATCTCTGGATCTCTAGACGAAGATGTATCAATTGATTGACTGGATATTTCACTGTTTACAAACGCTCATCATTAGTTTTGGGGTTCCAAAAATGAAAATAAACGCCTCCTATCTGTTGAAAGCCCTCTTTTGGACCCCTAAGATTACATAAACGCCATGGGCGTCTATTTGATCATGTAAAGTACACTTTTTCCGTGTACGGGTACGGTACGGGTAGCTTACCCGTTCCCGCAGCAAAGAATACTGGCTGATTGTTTCTTATCGGGTCGGAAAGGCTACTGGGTATAAGGGTGATAGCATTATTATCGGCACTTCTTGATAATCATAATTGCCTACTGCGTGAGAAACAGATTCGAATACCGGCGCCTGTAGAGACTGAAATGGTGTATCTTAAGGTCCCTGCAGCTTTCCTTATACTGTAATGTACTGCAAGCTGAATCACTTGACCTAATTTACTGATGATTTGAATCACTTGATTGATTTCCTTTCATTACCGTCTCTTGAATATTTTCATTTGATTATGTATTTTCAAGGCATTTATGGCAATTAGTTTTTTTCTCTCAAGGGACAAATTCGGGTCGGAGTGTTTTTTTGTTGTTTTTGGCGATTGTTAAAGACTGGTTGTTCTGCTGGGGTAGCCTGCATAGCTGGCCCAGCGGGATCGTCAGTGCGCGCAAATGTTTTCAGAAAGGAGTCATAGACTGTTTTACTGGCGTTTAGATTTAAGACAGAACCAAAGAGTGTGAGCAGGAAAAACAGCGAGAGGATGGGGTAGGGGGTGAGAGCTCTCCCTCTCCCTTAGTTCCTTCTTTTTAGTTATTGTTTCCCGCTCTCTGATCTCGGGCCACACTCAACATGATCTGAACGCCGGGAACAGGCTAGAGGTCGCCTGATGTAACGGAATCCGCATTCCAGAATCCAAGAATGTTTTGCTTGTGGGATCCAGAATCTGAGAAAATTTGCTTTTGAATCTCAAATCCTGGGCTTTGGAATCCGGAATACAGCTCAAGGAATCCGTAATCCCACCGACAATTACAATCTAGAATCTAAGTACAATTCCACCGACAAAGACTGAAATCCACCACCTTGAAATCCGGAATCCACGAAGTGGAATCCAGAATCCAAGATTGTCTTGGATTCCCTTACATAGGGCGTACGTGGTTACGGGTTGCGAAGCAGCCTAGAAACTGTATGCAATGGACATTCTGGGATCATGACAGGTGAATTAACATGCACATAATGCCAAACCCGTAATTCATTCAATTACAAATAAAAACGCCTTGCTTTAACGTAATTCCCTTAAGGGGCTTAAGGTTTTAGTAACATTCATAGTTTTTCCTATAAAATAAGAATTTTCGACGGTTGTTTAAGTTTAGAACATTTCGCGCGCAACATGGAAAAAACACTCAGAATTACGGGAACGAAAGGCGCAAACAAGCACGCGTACGGTGACCCCATCTTTTCATTGCAGTTTTTGAATTTCCTATATGTTTCTGACCTTTTTGCCAATGCAAGTTTGAAAAAAAAAATGGATAGTACATCATTTTCAAGGGAAGTACCTTAACGTGGATGAGTGCCGCACTTTAAAGTCTTCATTTTACAACGGTATATTAAGTTAGTGAAGAAAACGTTTTTCGGAAAAATGTTTGGACTTTGTTTCGGCGAGAACCCGTAAACATTTAGTGCTACAAGGTATCTTTTTTTTGTTTTAATTTAAGGTACATACGGTGGGATTTGGTACTGGATCTCTCTCGTGTTTGCGTATCATCTCTGCCCTTACCCTGTGGTATTGATAGGCCGATATACCGTTAATTCAGTTATGGTGCAATTGTTGCAGGAGGTTTAGATTTTTTTCGGATCGGCGATGTTTTGGGAAATGTTTTAACGCTAGTTACATGGGGAGTACATTTTTGTGTTTACTTTAATGGTTATAATACAACCAGTATGCAGGTGAAACAACATTCAAATCAATATCCGCAAAATACGTCCCTTTATTCTAAGTCGCTTATCTATATTATTTGCGAGGTTGACTTACTTTAATTTAGGCCTATATATATTTCACGTCTTCTTCAAACTTTGGAGTAAATTTCTGCAGAGGAAGGATTCGTTTTGTAAGCTAATCGTGGTAAAGTAAAAAAATATATAATCCAGAGTCGATTAGCAGCCAGATAGTAGCGATCCCACGGTGGTTACAGAAATTGGCCGTGAAGAATAATGGGGGCCAGAAGAACTACAGACAGCTGGAAAAACTCTTCCAAGTAATTATTACATAGGATTCATTTATTGCTGAAGACGAGTATTTCAATGGGCTTCACGTTTATCGCTTAATCCTCCCACCTCCCCCTTGCAAGGTTGTGCCAAAAAACACCCATTTTGCCGAAAATGGAACATTATTTGGGGTTGGAGCCCCCCCTCCAGCTTCGT